CTTTTTGGGAAAAGTCCATGAGAACCCACCTGCCTGATGATGGAGTTCATCATTTTATTCAGCCAGCCTTAACTGAGTATCTACTGTTGCTAAAATATGCTCTATCCCTAGGCCAAATGAGTGAGGAAAGCATGGCCCCTCACTTGAGTCAGCCCACTGTCTAGTGTGGTTCAGTTTTGTCTGGGGGAGATGGTCAGCAGGTGAAAGACATTGGCAAAAAAGCAAATAAATTACAAGTATGTGCATGTCTTATGTCTATATTAGTTATAGGTTATTTTTGTGGTGGTTGTGTTTTTCTTTTTTGAGGTCATAATAACTGTCTGAGCAGATTTAAGCCATGACCTCAGCTCACCCATCACCTGTGTAACTGAGGTATCCATGATGCCCTCGCTTCCTTCACACCTGTGAAGGCATAACCATGCCCTCCAGTGGCCCGTCTTGTAGCCAGGAAGGGGGCTCCTTACATGGGGAGAGCTGGAGCCATGGAGGAAATTACCTTTTTGTGAGGATAGCATTGGTTGGCCCAGATGGTCCAGGTTCCTTCTCGCTCTCAAAGCTTGTGTTTTGCTCCCAGAGATTTTTAACGGGCCCCAGGGGTTCCAATGGGCAGCCAAAGGGAGAGAGCATTGATCCAAACTTACTTCCTTGTTTGACACTGAGGCTAAGGCCAGGGGCCACCTTCCTCATCACTTGCTGGTCCTGTCAGACTCACATGCTGTCCCCTGTGGGGCCCGCTGCCTGACATTGGCTTTTGAGTCAAGCTGCTGCTTTAGGTCACCCCTTAAGGGGATTGCCCTTGACCAGCGGGCCCAGCTGGACCCCAGGATGACCCTGCCTGGCCTCCCTGATCAGCGGGGACAGCAGCGAGCTCAGAGTCCAGCTCTGGTGAGGCTCGTCTGACAGTTACCCCCCTGCCCCCATCAGCCCTCTCTCTCAGAGGCACTCTGCTTGCTGTACTAAGAAGAGATGACCCCTTTCCAGAAGCTCTGATGAAGATGCCCCGGGCAGAGCTCCTACTTTGCCCCTCACTCTCCTCGGGTCCCCAGCATTGCTGCCGACTGGGCTGACAAGAGCTATGGCCAGGAGGCCTTTTGGTTGGCGGGGCAGCTGCCCTACCCCCGTCAGCTTGTGTGGATAGTTACTCATTGTTACTGCGCTGACACTTTCGTGCCCAAAAGATACTTTCCAAATACTGGCCCTGGGTCTTGCCTCGTCCAGTCCCCTGTTACCCCAGGCACATGTTTTTCCATGTGATTTTTTCCCCTCTCTTCTTCCAGTGACCTTTCCTTAAGTTTTAGCTAAGTGGATTCATTATAACCAGCCCTGAGTCTCAGGAGCACACAGTGACTTGCTCTGCAATGAACCATCAGCCCTGATGGTAAGTGGATTAATCTGGTCCAGGTAGATGTATCCAGATAAGCAGTCTTGTCATGGATTAGGACTTACTTGTCTAGACAGAGTCCAGCTTTCAAAAGATAATATTCTCAAATGAGTCTGGGGGCTTTAGGGAAGCTGGTGTGTATAGTCATTGAATGTGAGCCACATTGGCCTAAAAAGTATTCAGCGACAGTGTGGAAAGGCCCAAATTGTAACCATCAGACAAGGCAGGGAAGCCTGATGACTCAATTGAAGGACCAGTCACGGCCTCTTCCCATTTGATGATGTTGACACGTAATGCTTGGGCTCTTACTTAATGTCTGCTTGCTTAATAAGAAAGCTATGTATTGTCAGTCATTTAAACATGGAAACACCTCTGCTTGTTAACTGTGCCCAATGATGAGGACTTCGCATAGTAATGGACTTCGTTTATGAGGCAGGACTGCAGGGAGAAGTAGGTTCCCAGCTGAGCAGGGAGCCTGATATGACACTCGATCCCAGAACCCCGGGATCATGACCTGAGCTGAAGGCAGACACTCAACTGACTGAGCCACCCAGGCGTCCCAGATGTACTGGCTTATTTTTTTTTTTTAAGATTTTAAAAAAATTTTATTTGATTGAGAGAGACACAGCGAGAGAGGGAACACAAGCAAGGGGAGTGGGAGAGGGAAGAAGCAGCTTCCCACGTAGCAGGGAGCCCGATGCGGGGCTCGATCCCAGGACCCTGGGATCATGACCTGAGCCGAAGGCAGACGCTTAACTGACTGAGTCACCCAGGCGTCCCTGTACTGGCTTTTAGAAAACAAATCCTGGGCACCTGGCTGGCTCAGTCAGTAGAGCATGTGACTCTTGATCTCAGGGTTGTGAGTTCAAGCCCCACCTTGGGCATACAGATTACTTTTATTTTTTTGTAAGATTTTATTTATTTATTTATTAGAGAGAGAGTGCAAATGAGTGGGGGGAGGGGGAGAGGGAGAAGCAGACTCTGAGCTAAGCACTGTGCTAGATGTAGGGCTTGATCCCACAGCCCCGAGATCATGACCTGAGCCAAAATCAATAGTCAGACACGCAACTGACTGAGCCACCCAGGCGCTCCGTAAGATTTTATTTTTAAGTAATCTCTATACCCAGCATGGGGCTTGAACTCACAACTCCGAGATCAAGAGTTGCATGCTCTACTGACTGAGCCAGCCAGGTGCCCCTCAAATTTGGTTGTTTTCCAAATAAGCACCTTTCTTTTCTGGTGTAGGAAGAGCTAGATACAGCTTTTTGATAGGGAAATTGTCAGATTATGTGCTTTTGTGAATGGACCTATTTTTCCAGGGTGAACACCCTGGTCTGAGTGTTGGATGAGAGCCTGTGGGGTCCCAGGCTACATGCCAGGGCCTTGTGTGTTCATCATGGGGTTCACTTGGCATTTGCAGCTGGAGTGCCAGCCACACTGTTCTTGGAGGGGCGGGGAGGCAGCCCCAAATGCTGGAGGAGGCCTGGGGGTACTAATTTTACAGGTGGCCAGTGCATCTGCGAAGGTGGCACGAAGTTCTTCTTAGAGGGTGTAGGTGTCGAAGGAGCATGTGCCTCAGGTGGGCTCAGGCATAAGCCATTTTGGGGTGACCTTGCTACTGGCTGGGGTTGGAGGAGGGGCCAGAGCTAGGACAGCCAGGCTGATCCCAGTCCGTTGAGCCAGAATGAGGGGGTGGTGGAGGAGGTGTCAGGTGAGGGTGCAGCCTCAGTGGGAGGAACTGGAGTGTTGTCAAAAACCCAGGAGCTACTGATCATTTTTTGCCCTGTGCCAGGGAATCTGTCTCTGTTTCTTATTCTCCTTTTCTAGTTTCATAGATGAGGAAATTGAGGCTCAAAGATTAAGGAGTTTTTCTAAGACTCCAAAGCCTCTGAACCCCAGGACTGAAATCTGAATTTGTTTGACTCAGCATGCATGGTGCTTGTGGAATTGCACCTGCCTCTCAATGGGGGCCGTGGGGGCCCCGATCCCTAGGAACTGTGACGGGTGGGAGTGTGACTGACTGAGCATTTGCCCTATTCCAGCCTGGGACTCTCTACCTGGAAGGGCTGTGTTTCAACTGATGGCCTGGTCATTTCAAAGCCACAGCTGCAAGGGGCTGTCACAGGGGTCCTGGTGTAGCCGAGTCCCTGGAGTTATAGGGCTGCGCAGGACAGCCCTACGTACTAATGAATTGGCCACCTATAAAATCACCACCTATAAAATCAGTTCCCACCCCCTTGGGCCCCCATGCACCCCTCTCAGGTAAGACCAATGTCTCCCCACAGCCATTGCCTCAGGTCTGGCTATTAGAAATCTGGGAATATTATGGAAATGGAAATTCAATGTTAGTTAAGTGCAGAGGGACATTGCAGATCTTGCAAAAGGTCCAGTGAGTCATGAAGACACTGGAGGTAATGTTATAGAATCTCTTGGTACTCCCACACTGACAAATGAAGGTCTGAGAGAATACCAGTTTACCATTGAAGAGCAAAGAAGAAGGGGTGTGATGACTCTTTTGGAAAGGAATTGATATCAAGATTAAGAAAGGCACTTAGAAAATTGATGAAGCCCTTGAATCGTTTGCAAAAATGACCTTTCTGGTTGTCTTATTAAAAGTAAAACATAAGGCAAAAGGTTCCAGGGTAGTTGGTCAGAAAAAGTACACACAAAACAAAAGAAAGAACACTCATTTTATTTTGTTGTTGTTGTTCTTTAGGACAAATTAGAACATGGTTATAATTGCATGTCTTTAGCCTAATTTTATCAAATGTAATATGAAATAGGCTTATCCTTCACATTATAGTCCCCTTTTTTCAAGATAGAAACCCAATCGGATTTTTTTCTACTTCCTCAGCCAAACCATTTACTATGAAATGATGGTCTTCGTTCAAATGGATTGATTGTAAAGTTACGAGCCTCTGCACACCACCCTGGTCCCTATAACAGATATTCTCAGTTAACTAGGACCTGTTCTTCTTTTAATCTGGCAAAAGAAACTAGATTCAGGAGGTTTTGGCTGGTGGTTTGCAATTCTTTAGCAGCCCCAAAGAGTCCATGTTTTGTCTAATCATGCCCTGGTGTCTATTCTTACTGGTCTCTGAGAAACTTTCCCAAAGGAGTAATGTCTTCCTCGTTTGTAGTTGCTTTTGAAATCATGGCCATCCAGAGACCATAACTTTTTTATTGCATCCTAATGATTTTCAGATTTTATTTAATACGATTTTAAAATTTAATATTTATCAGTTAACCTGGTTCAGACCAGGGGGTATTTGAATACTTAACAGTATTATCTAATGCTTTAGAAAAACTGCACACAGTTTCCAAGTTAAATAAGAGGCATCTTGTCTTTTTTGAGAAAATTGCTGCGTAAAAGGATCAACATAAAGTGGCACTATTAACCAGAGAGAATGCTCAGAATTCAGCAAGGCAAGATGGGCCTGGCATTCAGGGTGCAGGCTGGGAAAATGGCAGCCTCTTAAAGACAGCTTTTGTCCAGTCTTTTTTTTTTTTTTCTTTTTAATAGACTTTATTTTTTAGAACAGTTTTAGATTTACAGAAATGCCTGATCCATTTTACAATGAGGTTTTTAACTTCTAGATTTTCTTCCCTCTTTCTGCAGACGTCGCCTCATCTCCCAGAGGTCATCCTTGGAGACTCTGGAAGATATTGAGGAGAATGCCCCTCTACGGAGGTAAGTTTTTATTGGTGTATTTATGTGTATGTAAATGGCCTGCAGTACAATATGACAGCCAAAGTTTTTTTTTTTTTTAAGTCCTTGATCTACAGAATTAAATTTTTTAAATGATGGCCTGATCTCAGACTCATAGTTTGGAAACCCCAAGCCTGAGGACCACTAGAGCAGTATTAAATCTCAATTATGTATTGGGAAAGCCAGGTTTGCATGGTGGATTTGGATGCTGTTTCCTTTTCAGTGTCAAAGCTGCTGTTTGCTGCCTATCATTGTCCCAGCTTTCTTAGGTGCAGTGACACAGTGATCACAATCCTGGATTTCATTAGCAGGTGCCCACATGACTCCATCACCAGTTGCTGGGGAAACTCAATTAGGATAGCTGTGAGGGCTTCCTTGGGGCTGAAAGTGATTTCTCCATTGGGATTGGAAAGGTGCTCGCAAGGTGTTTGGGTGACAGCAGTTGCTGAGCTGTGCCGTGCCTCCGGCAGCTTTCCTTGCTCTCATCCTGCACCTCACCGCCGACCCCCATCTGTGCCTTAGTCTCCCCTGACCTTCCTTGAGTGGAGGAGACCGTATTCACACAGCACATCTCCTTTAGTCTTCACAGCGGCTCAGCTGGGCTGGTTGCGGGGTGCTCCTCCTGCAGAAAGAACCGAACCAGGTTGGGACGCGGATGCTTCACAGGGCATGCGCCGTGGCTTCACAGGGCATGCGCCGTGGCTTCACAGGGCATGCGCGCGGGTTGCGCCAAGGGAGGCCCGCGGGAAAACGTACGCTCCCATTGGCTCGACCAGCTTCCGGTATCCACGTCTGCGCACCTCGTGCTGTGGCCGCTGGCCAGGACTCGGGTGTGTGGGCTCCTCTTTTGAGCTTAAGAGAGTGCTGCTGTGGACCGAGGCTTCTCTCCCACTGGAGCCCGCCCATTCCCCACCTTGGGCTTTACTCCCAGGTTAGTCCTGTCCACAGACCATCTGGATGGAAGGTGGAGCATAGACAGGCGGCGGATCTGATCGAGAATATTGGGTGACTGAGTCTTGCAGCTGATGTCATTCCAAAGACAAAGTCAGGGCCAACCAGTCCGATTTCCACTTTTGAAGTCTTTTTGAAAACGTACGTAATCCCTGGGACCATCTTAGGGTGAATGGCGTGTGGCTGTGTGATTAATGTGGCTTAGGTGCGGGTGTTCTTCTATCCCTTGCTATTAAATATTGGGAGAAGGCTGTTTCTTTGGTAGTCCTACAAAAAGCTGCACAAAAAGTCCACTTAGGGAGCTGGCTGGAGTCCAGAGTTATCCTCGAAAGTGGAGGAAAAATGTTCTCAGGTGGCTTTGAGCGGCTTTGGCATTGGAGCAGGTAAGGTCACTCTTGCCACAAATGGGGAAATCAATGAATAGGACTAAAAAGCTCCTGGTGTTTGAGAGACTGTGAGAGGCGTCAGTTAAAGCAGTGTGGTAGCTGTGAGTCAAGGAAAACCAGGTAAAAAATGTTACTCTGTCCTCAGGGATTCAGGTGGCTAAAGGGGGGTGGGGAGGAGAAGGGCGAGGAGGAGCTACCTGCTGTGTGCCTGGTCACGTGCCGCATGGTCACCTCTGTACCCTCCTCCCAGAATCCACCCAGGCTGATCCTCTGCTCTCTACCCTTCAGTCGCCCGATACTACGGATGAGCACAGTAAAAAGGGCTTATCTGCCTTAGTTATAACTTATCCAACTCTTACTTACAGAATACTATACTTAATTTCCAACAAATCTTCTGTAAATAAAAAATTTAAAAAACAAGACTGAAACCAAGGGAATCTGGGCAGTTTGGGAAGGCTTTATTTTCCCTAATAGACTTTAAAAAAAAAAAGTTTTAATATTTACTTAGAAAGGATGAGCACTGGGTGATGTACAGAATTGTTGAATGACCATATTGTACACTTGAAACTAATGTAACGCTGTATGGAACTATAATAGAATTAAAAGTAACAACTAACTAACTTAGAAATGTACTTATTCCTAGGAAATAAAATTAGCATGGCATAGCAGAAGGGATATTCATTTGGGAATCTGGAGGCCTGAATTCTTGGTTTGATTCTTCTACTAACTGGTTACATGGCCTTAGACATTTTATTTAGCTTCTCTGGGGCCTCAGTTTTCCCATCTGTAAAATGGGAGGGCAAATTGACTGCTCTCTGAGGTCCTTTCCAGCTCCCAATTTTGTGAAATGAATGTACCAGTAATGATACTGAAGTGTTTTGGGAACTGTGGGGACCCAAGGCTATTAGCCCAGCTTGTTTTTAAACTCAGCACATTGAACAAATGGCTGCAAAGCATCTATTAAAAACCTTTTGCATAATTAAGTGTATGCTGTAATCAGTGCTAACAAGAAAGAGCTAATCTTTCATTAAATTAGTTTTTAATTTAATTCTATCCTAATTTAATTTTGCATTACTTAAGATGTATGTTTTTAAATGGATACTGAAATTAATTCGTTCTTTGCTTAACCTGTCACAAGCTGAGTGCTCTGTCTTCCAGTTTCCTTGGCAATGGTTGCCAGTGCCACAGTTCTCTTTTAAAACATTTCTTAGATTCCCTGGTGGTTTAGTTGATTGCTTTAAAAAATGCAAGACAACAAACAACTTGCTAAAGGAGGGGCTAGATTAGTAGCATATGCCCTTATAATTGGGTGCTGATACATTCTTTTTTAAAGTCTCATGTTTCTCTTGCACATCACAGTTTGCTAGTAAGTTAGTGTCCTGCACCTGCCTAGAACTCCAGGAGTTAAGCATTCATAATGAGAGCCTTTAGACTAAGGAGTTGTCCACCTGCCCGGTGGTGACCTGGTGTCCTAGTATTAAGGAGCCGGGACGTTGCTATGAGGTGTCCAGAAAATCCTCAGTTTGGTGGTGGCGAATGTGCCAGCCATCTCCACCTGCCTCTGTTTTCGGGCCTGTCTGGGTTGATGGGTGTTGGCTGCTGCACCGTTCGGTGATTACCGGTACCTCCTCCTCCCCCTGTGAGTGCCAATAATCCCCTGTGGCCCTTTTGCCGACTTCCAGTTCTAGCAGAAGGCCGGGGAATGTTTGTGCTCAAACCTGAAGGGTAACAGCACGGGAGGCAGAGAGAAACTCAGGTCTTCCCTCCTCTGGGCTGGGATCTGTACCAGCTTCGGGCTGCTGGGGGCAGGAGTACCTACTAACCCATCACAGTCCAGCTCTTGGCCCACTGTCCTCTGGCTGGCTGGCTCAGGAAGCTCTGCTGTTTGAGGGGAAGCAGGGTAAGGGTGTGAGGACACTTTTGGACACTTGGCCCTAACCAGAAACCAGTGGAAGCATAGCCTTATGCTTTCAGAGATTCTCTTCTCTCCAGTGGCTACCTGTCTCTAGAACCTTCTGCATTGTTTGTGAGAGACATTTGGGGACCTTGGGTGGCCTGCAGACTCAGTCATTTTGGAGGTAGAACTGAGGCAGTTTGGGGTCCTGGGTCTGCTTCCAGAGAGCTGCCCCAAGAAGGCAGAGTGAGGCTCCATGCCCTTGAACCTCGGTAAGGCTAAATCTGAGTTTGGAAGCTTGGAGTGGGAAGGGGGATTGATGGGTGCTGTCTCTTCAAACCCTGCCTGAAGGCCACAGGAAACATTGACTAAATAAAGGTCTTTAAAAGATTCTAAAACCAAGAATTCAGAACCCTTGGTGACAGCTACAATTTTAAGAATATAGGAAGCAAATAATAACAAAATATGCATGCTTTGTAGCTAATGGTCTATTAATAATCACAATACTGAGATTTGTATACAAATATTTACATGTATATACACGTGTATGAATGTGAATGCTTGTATTTGAGTGTGTCACTTGACAGTTTATGAATCTCTTGTATATGTCATTACATTTAATCCTCACAACAAGGCCCGAGGGATCTGAAATATTACTAGTGATAGGGCAGAGTTGGTGAGTTTGGGGCTAGAGGCAGGGAGGACTGTGGTTGCTGCTGTGAAGTGTCTTACAGGGCCACATGGGTTCTGCATGGTCCATGGACCCTGCCCTGATGTGGTGGACATGAAGGGGGGCTTTCCCTCCTCTAGACCCAAGGACTGGGGAGCCCCGTTTTCCCCATGAAAGCTGCCAGATACCTGATACCAGGTCTTTGCTTTAGGCTGCACTCATTCACTTCAGTATGTTTTTTTTTTTCCGAGTAGGGAGAAAAAAAAAAATTCATTCTTAGCACTCCCAGGGAATGGCTTCTCGGAAAACTGGATCTTTATTAGAGGATGGGTAAGGGGGCTTGAGGGAACATACACCTGACGTCTGGGCCAGGGACTTCACCCAGTTTCCCTTGAGCTGGGCCCTTGGAATCGCTGTGCAGGTCTGTGACCTTGCCCGTTTCCCAGTCCTGTACCCCGGCATGCCCCCACGGCCCACCTGCCCTCAGCTGTACCTCCTTGCTGGGTCATCTTGTTAATCTTACCAGAAGCCTCAAACTTCAGAACTGACTGAACTCGGGTGGTGGCCCTACCCCAGAGCTCAGTGTGGCTTTGGGAAGCCAGGCACTGCTGTTCCAAAGCTCCCTCTTCGAAACTTAAGGTCCTAAGTACCCACACCCCATGGCAGGAGCCAGTCCTTGGCGCCAATGGTCAGAAAGGTTTAAGTAGACAAAAAAATTGGTAGCAGAAACCCAGAGACATCACAGCTCCCTTTCTCAAGACAAGACCAAACTTCAGACTCTTTATTTGTTGATTTTTTTTTCTTGCCCTTTTTCTTACTGTTGCAGTTGTATAACTTTAGAATTTGCCAGGTAACTTGGAAAAAAATACAGACAAGATCTTTCTAGCCTGTGGTGTGTTCTGTTAGTCCTGTAGGGCAAGCAGTGTCATATATTCCAGGAAAAAAGTAATTTGAATCCCAGTCCGTTCAACAAATGTTCATTTAAAAATGTATCTTGGGGAAAAAAGGAAAGAAAGAAAACAGCGGCTCGTTCCAAGTAAAGCCGTGACTTCCAGGCGTAGTCAAGTTAAGCACTGAAGCAGCTGTCCAGGTGGTTCAGGCCAGAGTCCTGCTATGGAAGAAAAATGATCTGGCATTGCCTTTAAACTAAATTTTCCAGTGTTTTTCTTCCCCCTGTAAATTCTTTAAATTTACAGTTTTCTGTTCCCGTTACCGGTGTTGATACAGGAGGATTCTTTTTAAGATGACAAGAAAGAATAATGTCTTTGGAATCCATGTAGGTTATGTTATTGTAACTGTGAGGACAATAGTTTTCATTAGCTGGCTTTCCAGAGACCCATATAAATGATTATCAGGATTATCAAGGAAGTTGTCTTTCGTTGGGTTTTTTTTTTTTAAAGCTTCCTCCCTTCCAGCCGTATTGTCCTCATTATCCTCGGGGTGATTCAAACCATTTGTCTGGTCTTCCTTCCTGTCTTTGTGTGGAGATGTCTCAGCTGTCCTGTGGGCAACTGACCGTGTTTTTGAAATGACTTTATTTTTCAGATGTCGAACTCTCTCAGGTTCGCCCAGACCAAAGAACTTTAAGAAGATTCATTTTATCAAGAACATGCGGCAGCACGATACCAGGAACGGCAGGTATCAGACTATAGCGAGAACTGCCCCGCCAGCCTCCCTGCGGGAGGGGGGGGGTCCAGTGATGATGGGAGGAGGGGACCGTTGGTCTGGCCAGAGAAGCCCACGCTGCTGACAGCAGAACCTCACAGAACCTTCCCAAACAGACAGTTTCCATCCCACTCCCACTAGAATCACCCAGAGAAGTCTATAGAAAATGATGCTCCCAATAGCGGCCAAATATTCGGTGAGGTTTTCAGGCTGACTACAAATGGACTATTTAATAGCACTCAAATACATTTTTGTAGAAAAGCATTTTTTTTTTTTCCTTTTTCTGCTTTGTTGCATGTTACTTCCTTTTTTTCACTAAGGCTGTATGCTCTGGTCCGTAAATACCCCACCAGTGTGTGCCTGAACTTGGTTTTGGTGCTAGCTTTGATGACTCTTCAGGAGAGCAGGATGGTAGCTTTGCCAGCAGGTGGTTTTTGGGCGCCGATTCGGACTCCTGGGCCTACTGACATCTGGAACACGTGTTTCTCCCGCTCTTCCATTGCTCTTTTGGAAAGTGCTATTAAATGAAAATGACCGTGATTGAAATTTGTGTAACCCTGATATTAAAACTCCTGGCGATTAATAGATCGGTCCTTGTCATGGGCATGCTTCTGTCTGAAGGGCTAATGAGTCTATTCACGGCAGCCTGACGGCAGCACAGGAACAGAGCTCCAAGACCTCTCAGGGTCCCTGATGCTCTGTACCCTTTAGTGATGGCTCCTCCCTACTGACCTGTGACCTGCTGAGTGGTTTCCCATTAGCGGGAGAGTCAGAGACACCACCCCAGAGCAGAGGTACTTCCACAAAGACCATTTTGTTTTAGTGCCTCCGGATTTACAGAAGCCCATATAGCCCCCACTGATAATCGCTAATCCATATCAAATGAAAATTGCTCAAAAGTCTTGAGTTAGACGCATGGACTGACTGAGGCCCAGCGTACCTGTCTGTAATCTGGTATAAAATAACGCTCTACGACCCGAAAGATAACACTAATGATTACAATTTTTAAAGACTTGTTTTCTTGAAGTTAATACCTATGTTTTAAACCGATTGAAATAAAGAACATAATTTTACAGCTTTTGAGTGGTTTCAGAATAGCAGAACTGAGCTCCCTCATTAACGAGGGTTTGTGTAGTCGGTGTATATTCCTATTTTAAATACAGAGTTTTTGGTTAAAATGTACCCAGCTGTCATCTGTTAAAGAGAATCTGAATTTCTCTCACTTAGTCTCACTCTCACAGTTATTGTGCCTTATTCCCTGAACCACCCTGTTTTATTTTTCTTTTGAGGCTCTTACTGAACTGAAACCTCACTCATGCCATTTTTACTATAATTACTCATCGTTTATTTACATTTGTGTTCTTGTCATAATCTCCTTAACCATAAAATAAACATCAATAGCCTTTAATTCCCAAATCAAATCAAGACAGCCAAAGAAGTGGGCCAGATTAGTGGGCTTCCCCACCTCTGGTGGTGCTGATGCTGTGGAGGATGCAGAGGCAGCTGGGCACCTGGCCTGGTGCGGGAGTGAGAGGATGTAGCTACTAAGACATTTGGGCCGATGGGATTGCCGGCGTACAGGACAGAGCCGGCCTCCCCAGCACACCCTTGACCCAGGAACAGCGTAAACAGTCCAGAAAGCATGCAGTGGCTTGCAGTTTTGCTGGGGAATTTTCAGAGGGAGCCAGGAAGGATTATTAGCTTATCTGAAGATCTGAGAACTGGAATTTAGGGCAGGAAAGCTTGCTAAACGCTGCTCTGGGAACCACAGGCTGTGGGCTGTGCCACAGTCAGTTGTCTCTGCCCAGGTGAGAGGTGCTCTCCTTTCTTCCTCGGGTTATTGGCAAGGCTGGATTGTCCTTAGATAGATGAAAGAACTTGAGAGGACACCAGGAAGAAAATACGGTTTCTGAGTTGACAGAAGGAAATTGTGGTCAAGAGCCAATGAATGGGAGGATGTGACCCAGCCTTTTGAGAAAGGGAAGAATTGCCCCCATCATAGCTGGGCAGCGGGCATGAAATTGTCCTCATAGAGAGGCGCGTGGATGAGCTCTAGTCCAGCAGCGGTGGGGAGGAGGGATCCTGGTGGTGCTCTCGGAAGGGAGGGGCAGGTGCATGGGCAGGGGTCTCCGATTCTGCCATTTTGGGTATACTGAGGTACGTGCACGGCACCACACCAGAAGGTGCGTTCTTGCAGTGAGGATCGAGCTTGGGTTTGCCTGCCGGGGTTGGGAAGGAATGAGGCTTTACAGCGAAGGCTCATTAAAGGGCTTGAAGGTCTGGACTGAAAATGGAATGCCCTGAGTACCGGTATCCTGCCTCTTGTACCCGGGGAAGGAGACTGAGAAGGGGTCCGCAGAGTCCCCAGGCCCAGTCCCGCAGGGGTTCCCATTCACGGCTATGCCAGCTCCCAAGTGTCCGTGTGATCTCCGACTAGCACCCACCAGACTCTCAAGACTGCAGGCCGGACCCGGCGCCCACGCTGCTCTGGACCTGAAGACCTCAGAGTGGAGGCTACTCCGTCCCCAGGCCTGCTGAGTGTGTGTCACTGGCACCAACATGGAAGGGGGTTGGGGCTCCAGGCTCAGCAAGGACTAGTGCAGCTGACACCAGGAGAGGGGAGCATCTGTTCTGGGCCTTAGTGCCCAACCTGTGAATATGAAAAATGGTTTAAGACAGGAAGGAGAGAAATCATAAAAACTGAGAACCAAATGTGATAAAAGACAATACTTGCATTAAACTCAAGTGGACGTAATGATCAGCAATGTCGGGGTAGTGGCTTAGAAACAAACATTGGGGGCCCGGCTAGCTTCGTGTTCTCCCACTTCTCTCTGTGACATTAGAGGAATCTCAACGACGTCTGAAGTAGAGGTGAGCACCTTAAATAAAAGGTGTGGTTCTGATGGAGGATGGAATCTTCTTGAAGGAAAACCTATCTTCACCTTCTTCAAAATCAGTGAATTCTGTGCAGCTGGCCTTGGGGACCTGCTGGAAGGCTCTGTGTGGGATAAAGTTCAGAGCACCAAGCTCAGCGTGTTTCGGGGTCATGTTGCAGACCCTTGAGCCAGGTGGGGCTGAAGGCTGCGGCCTGGACACAGGTTAGAGACCCAGTGATGGAAGCTTCGGCTCTACCGTTGGGACCAGATGGTATCATGAGTTCTTGACCAGCCCTGCGTGGTGCTTTATCTCCTCACAGGGGACGTGATGAGGGGAGCCGCCATGCTCCGGTTCCACTTCTTTTTTTTTTTAAAGATTTTATTTATTTATTTGAGACAGAGAGAATGAGAGACAGAGAGCATGAGAGGGAGGAGGGTCAGAGGGAGAAGCAGACTCCCTGCCGAGCAGGGAGCCCGATGCGGGACTCGATCCAGGGACTCCAGGATCATGACCTGAGCCGAAGGCAGTCGCTTAACCAACTGAGCCACCCAGGCGCCCCTCCGGTTCCACTTCTGTTGTAACACAAACACAACACAGGTTGGTGATGGGGAAGTTGTGTTGGACTTGATGGTTGTGAAAGGCAGCAGTGCTTGGCTGGGTTTTAGGAAGACAGATCTCAGAACGTTCAGACATGAAGTGGATTCTTGTGGCTGCAGCCACATGGCCAAAAGGGATTATAAAATACATGGAGCATGAAGTGATAATGGGTAACATTTATTGAGTGCTTACTGGGTACCACGCTCTAAGTACTTTATATGCTTTGTTTCATTAACTCAGTGGGTATTTGTGGGTAAGTGAGTAGAGAGATCTTTTAAGTGGCTTTCAGTCTTCAGAACTATATATCTTGAGGAAGGGAAAGAATTTAGAAACAACCTTGAGAGGAAAGTATTGCTATTATTGTATTGGGTAAAATGATGCCCCCCAGAGACGTCCATGTCGTATCCCTGGGACCTGTGAATATGTTAGGTCACGTGGCGTGGGGGAGTTGAGGTTGCAGATGGAGTTGAGGTCACTGACCAGTTGCCCTGGAAATAGAATTATCCTGGATTATCTGGGTTTGCCCAGGTAATCATTGGGGTTCTTAAAGGTGGAAGAGGGAGGCAGGAGAGCGTCAGAGTGATAGGGTGTGAGAAAGACTCAACTCGCCATTGCTGGCTTTGAAGATGGTGAAAGGGGACATGAGCCAACGACTGTGGCTTCCCCTAGAAGCTGGAAGAGGCAAGAAAACAGATTCTTTCTTCGAGCCTTCAGTGGGAACCGGCTCTAACCCCTCGATGATAGCCCCACGAGACCCACGAGATAGTCAGAGTTCTGACCACCAGAGTTATAAGATAATAACTCTGTTGTTTTAAGCCACTGACTTTGTGGTAATTTGTTACCGCAGCCATAGGAAACGAAAACACTCGCCATCCCAGTTAACAAAGGAGGAAGCTGGAGCACATAGCTGGAGAGTGGGGGGTGGGATCCAGATCCAGGCATCAGATTGCAAAGTTCGCTCTCGTAATCAAAGGGAAAGGTGGGAGGTAAAAGTCCAAATATTATCAGACAGCAGGTCATGGTGGATTTGGAGAAAACTACTGAATTCTGCTTTTTAAAATCCATTAGCTAAAGGCCAAAGACTAATAAAAGAATGGCTTAAGTAAACTTGTAAGAATAGTTTGAGTAGCCCTAAGGTCCAGAGTGAAGTAAAGATTGATGAAAGAAAAATTGGCACCCTCGTACATGGCTGTTGGGAATGTAAAATGGTGCAGCCAGTATGGAAAGCAGTTCGGCAGTTCCTCAAAAAGTTAAACATACAATTATCCTATAACCCAGCAATTCCACCACCAGGTATATACCTAAAAGAATCGAAAAGAGGAATTCGAACAGATAGCCAAAAGGTAGAAACAAACCAAGTGTCCCATCAGCAGATGAGTGGATAAACAAAATACAGTGTACCCGTACAAAGGAATATTATTCAGCCATAATTAAGGAGTGAAGTCCTGATAACATGCTACAGTATGTGTGAACCCTGAAAACATCATGCTGACTGAAAG